AATCCGGGAGCTGTGATATCGGGCTGTGTAAAGGCAGTGATGGTGAGCAACACCAGTTCATCGAAAATAACCAAACAATGTGAGCTTCTAGTAGATAATAGAAATTGTACCTACCTTGACTAGATCTGGGAACAATATACTCGGCCCTCTCGACGAGAAAGCTGCGACCCTGGGCGACATAACTCCACTCCCGACCATATCCTGCGTTGGGCTCACCTTTCCCAGGGGGGATCTGCCAATTGCTTTCGTGGTTACACTCTGAAGACCTCAGAAAAAAAAAAACAATACTAATTTGTCCAGGAAAACTGAGCTCGAGCTAGCTAACCGAACCTCGTACTCTCGGCATAAATGGACATTAGTGTGGCCATCTCGTAATCTACAAAGACGCATACGGTGCCGTTGCAAATTTCGTCGATGTAGTGGAGGATGCTGGCGGAGTACTGTGCAAAGATAATGCCCTTCCCTCCTGCTTCCTGAACATTAATGGCAGCCAGTGGAAAGTGTCGCTTGGGTGGTGTGCTTGAGGCGATGGCAAGCTCGTAACAGAGCACAATCTTTCCGACTACATCACTCGAATTCAGAGCGTCGCGCGAGCAACTGTAGTAATCGTACGCCTTCTTTTAATGAACGAACATTTGGACAAAACGATTTGATTCATCTTCGCACTTACCTCCCCCCGTATGCTAGCTTCGTGAATCCTTCGTCCATGGATTCATAGAGGAGGGATTGTCCCTGCAAAAGAATTTGAGTCTGGAACCATGAGTAACTCGCCTTATGTAGACGTAACATGTTTCTGATGAACTATACAGTCCCCCCTACCACCACAGTTTGATTGTCTCCGAGGGTTAGGAGGGTAGGAAAAGAGCGATCGATTGTGCTGGCTGCGACGGTGATCACCCACGGCATGTCATTAGCAATGGTCTGGGTAACGGGTCCATCGTTGCCTCCAGCGAAGATCACAGTTATCCCCTTTGCTACCGCATGTATGGAAGCAAAGTATGGGTGAAGTACGCCCCCAAGTGAGAGTGATAAGATGTCCACGCCATCATGGATAGCATCATCTATCGCCTTCAGCACAGCAGCGTCGGGACACCCTGCTTTTGCCCAGCATGCCTTGTAGATTGCTAGCCGGGCGCGAGGAGCTCCTCCTCTCGCTGTGCCGGCGCCCAGACCATGGAAGCTCGCATCAGTCACCAACGAGCCTGCTGCCGTGGAAGCCGTGTGCGTTCCGTGGCCCTCGGAATCCCGGGGAGACTGGTAGCCTCCTTCGATGAGAGAAGGGTCGACGCCTCCGGCGTACCATCTTGCACCGATGATCTTGCGGTTGCAGTGGTTGACGGTGAAGTTTTGACCTACTTCACACGTTCCTTTCCAACGGGATGGGACGGGGCCGTAACCATGGTCATCAAAGCTTCTCGATTCCGGCCAAATGCCTATATAAGAAAAATTGGTAGGACAGGGCAAGCTCAATGACGATAAGGTAATGATTGCTTGCCTGTGTCGACGACGCCGATGATGATGTCATCGCCGAAGTTGCCTCTCACGAGTAGTCCTGTGGGTTGGGGTTGTTCATAACCAAGATCAAGGTAGTCCCAGCTTCGCGTAGTAAGCAGTGGAACGCTGCGGCTTGGATTGACACTGATCACTTCCGGCATTTCTAACCGGAGAAGAAAAGGGCGATATGATCAAGTTGCTTACTCATCTTAGTTAAGGATTATGTATACGTATAAATATGATACAATATACTAAACACGTGATGGATTCTCTCTCTCTCTCTCTCTCTCTCTCTCTCTCTCTCATCTCAAGTCGTCTCTCTCTCTCTCTCTCTCTCATCTCAAGTCGCCAACCTTATCTTAAGCAGCCTGTGGATTCAAGAGGTTGATAATGACCCGGCGTTTAGCTCAATAATAAAATTATTACTCAACATGGAATCAAGGGCATAATTTAGATTAATACCATGAAGTCACATGAAAGGCCGAGATAAAGTCTTCCAATTTTTTGTTTTAGTGGCCTCAACACATGAGCCGACTCTCAGGAGTATATCTATCCTTTGATTTTCCGTAATTAAGCACAAAACTATTGTGATTGAGATTTTTTTTTCACATATTGATTTATCTGGATCAATATCGTCCCTTCAAATTTCAGATATATTCTTGCATGTATCTTTTGGATTGTTCTCATCAGTTGTGCTGTTAATCATATTAGAACTTGCTTCCATTGTCACTGGTAAAATAGGCCTGAAATTGAAGAAGGAAGAACCTGCAATTTTGTCTGCTTGAGATTCTGTAAGCATGGCTGCAAAGCCCGAGAAGCCATGCTTATAGCTGTAGACAATTGAACTCACGGCTTCCTCCTTGCTGAATCACCAATTAGAATAACCTGTAATCGAGCATATATGACAGAAAGATGAAAGGAACACAAACTATATATGGTGCAAAAATGCATACCTCCCCAGTACGGAAGAGAGCATATGATGGTGCGACGCAGTCACGAGGTCTGGATCTTCGTGTTGCCTCTCTCCCAGGTACACTATGTACAGAAGCTACACAGAAGAGACCGTTGAGATGTTAGTCCGTGGACATCGAATGTTAAGATGATAGAGAGACGCTCATGGACCTTGGTCGATGATGGTGTACGTCCAAGTGCTGCCATTTGGATGAAGCTTGAAAGGATGAGAAGTAGAAGCATAGAGGATAGAAGATGCTGGTAACCCATCTTGCATGTGGCTGTGGAGGAGAAGAGTTGCTGCAATGGCGCTACTTATAAGCCTACGAAGCCACATGACCGATGGTGGTGATGGTCAATGATAGCTTGTTTGTGATGAATTAAGCCAAGGATAAGTTTGTTGACATGAAAGACTAATGAAAATAAAAGGATATTATTTTATTATATGATAAGGGAAATATATCATATTAGTCGTGCAACACACATTACCGGCATCTTTCGTATCCTAATTTGGAATGAAAAACAATCTACTATGCCATAGGTACAAAATGGACAATGAATCAACTGGCCCTAAATGAGACGTCACTCACTTGCCAGTTTAGTTGTGTAAAATTTTAATACATCATTATAAGATCCGAACTTTGAATCCTGCTTATATAACCTATTTTTAATTAAATAATAATAATTAATGTCAAGAGTCATTCATCTATCAGAAACTTATGTCAGCCAACGAATGTTAGAGGATCTCTAATATTTTTTTATATCTTGTAGGAAAATATTTACTCTGTTCAAACTTTCTTGTGCTTTGACACCATCTTGTTTTGGAAAATATTTTTAAATATATATTCACCATAAGAAATATATACCTCCGTATATTAATTTGCAATTTGAAGACTCAAACAGGATAATGGAGATCCATGAGTTATTGCTATCAATGCTTACAACGGACGTGGCTTCGATTCTCAATTGATGGAGCAGCCACCAATTGATTCCATGACAAGACGATGATAAAAAAAGCATCCACTGTTACCGTGATATTTCCATCCATGTCGACGTCAACTTTCTCATGTTGGCCATTCACTCACCCATAAAGTAATATACTTTACATAAAACGTTGCTATACCAAACCCAAAACTTGAAGTCAAATGCTATTGCGTGGCTTTTTATTTGCAGCAGTTCTTTATACAATTATTGTTTCTCATTATACTCATCTGAAAAAAAAAAAAATCAAGATTGTCACAAATTATATCCTACGTTATGTCAGGGACCATTCTCCTTTTTCGTATTTGATTGAACGACAAAGTGTTCATTCTAGACGATGACATTATTCTTTTTCTTCGTATTTAAGGTGGTCAGTTTTATCAAATCAATCATGTCAAACAAAGTAGTTGATAGATCAATTTGACATAATAGATTAATAAAATAATAATAACATAATCAACACGTCAACATGAGGTGGCTCACACCATATAATCAAGTGATCTATACCTTAAAACTAAGTGATAGATATCTTAGAGTCAAGCTAGGGGGGAGTCAGATAACTCATATATCGAAGGATGACACCTCAAGGTCACTTCCGTCAAGTAAGACTGATGCAGCCATGATCTCTAAATGTTAACAACTCCATCTCCATTGTGTCTATTATATGTTTCTTGGATTTGATGCAATACAACTTCACCTAGGCTAAGGAATACACATATATAACATTAATTCATATCGAGTGTAATGAGTTCAAAGTCACATTATAAAAAGCTCAATCATATATATTCACCTAGGTTTATCACTTTTAGTGCATTGTTGATGCATCAATCCCTCAAACTTAAGTGTTAGAGGAGTTTTATTGAATATGCCCTTAATATATTTATAGGATTAGATGTATTTTGAATTCAATCAACCTAATATAATAAAAAAACAAATATGGAAGAGGAAGACGAGCTAAGCTCAAATTTACGCGATCAAATTTTCACTTAAGACAATCAAAATAGAGAGATGTATTGTATGGATTCCTCCCATTAACATGAAAGTTATCCATAATAGGATAGAAATTATCACTTGGTTTTCAAATGATTCCAGAGACACCCAAATGTTTTCCTAAATGCTACGTATATGTACTTACTATTATGTGAAAAGGCTTATTTCATGTATCCAACATAACATTATTTCATGTCTTGAATGCGTAACCAGTGGCAAACAATGGGATTAAATCTTAGGAGGTGTCGGAGAAGAAATCACGAATGATGATCCGAACTGCGATAGGAATTCGTACCCAATTCTTCCCACGTCGATGAACCCAAGTCAAGCTTCCGAACGTGAAGCCTCCTTGCACCTTGTGAAGCGGCGTGAACGTCACCTCAAAGTTAAGCTTCTCGCCGGAAGCCCTGAAGTGTAGAACAGATGGCTGCACTTCCATCTTAACACCGGCTGGAGTCTGCACTACGGCCATGTAACGGCCATGCGTGTCGCCCACATTAGTGACGGTTCTTCGCACTTTCACAGGCGTTTCTTTCAGGTCGGGAATGGAGATGGAGGGAAGATTCAGATCATATGTACGGCTGCTACCCACTCCAGATTTCCTGAGGTCAGGAATGGCGCCTGAGGGCAGCTTCAAGTGATTTTGGCCACTAGTACTGTTCGATACACGGTTTGTGTAGCGAAAGAAGTTGACGTAATCATTTGGATCGATATCATAAATAAGTCCAGGATACATGGCTCGGTTAGGATCGATATGCCCTCCGCCATAGTCGAAGGGATCGGCCAGCTTCCGAGGAATCGCTTCTGCTTCTACTGGGAACCCGCGATCGTTGGTTGTATAGGCTTGAGACGGAGGCATGCATACAAATGTCAGAGTTGGCAAATGAGCGGATAAAAGATACACCTACTCACCGGTGGTGACAAGTGCTGATTTGATGGCAGCTGGAGACCAATCGGGATGCACTACTTTGAGAAGAGCTGCAATTCCAGATACATGAGGACAAGCCATTGAAGTTCCTGACATAAATTGATACCCATCTCTCACTGCCGCCAAGATATTGACTCCCGGAGCTGTGATGTCAGGCTGAGGAGAAGGTAAAGGATGAGCTCAGTGCTCTGTTTTTCCATTTTCCAGTGGAGCTACGATCGACCCTCAGCAGCGTCTTGTGCTTTTCAGAGGATTTATGGTTGGTTTTATCATTGCTTTCAAGCAGAGGATGATTTTACTTCTCAAAGTTTTAGATGTGGGAGGGGTTCGTTTTGCAATCTATTATAGGAGACGTCATAATTATCATGAACAGAGACACAACTATAGCTGCATACATACCTTCACTAAGTCCGGATAGCCTGTACTCGGCCCTCTTGCGGAGAAAGCTGCCACCCTCGGCGACATCACTTGGCTCCCGACGATGTTGGATGCAGGGTTCACATGCACCAAGGGGATTCTCCCACTGTCAATCTATCCGTGGTCAGATTCCCAAATGAACTACACGGCGCGGGTGGGGATCAGAATGGAAATCAAGGAAACAGACCTTGCAGTTTCCACCCTGGCATAGTTGGCTATCTGTCCGCCTACATCATAATCCACGAGGACGCATGTAATGCCGCTGCAGTCTGGGAGGATGCTGCGTGGGAATCGTGCAATAATAGCTCCCCTTGCTCCGGCTAGCGACAATTTCCCTAGCAACTGGGAGGTCTCACCGGCAGCAGCGACAGCGCCAGCAAATGTACGATCAAAGCATAACACAATCTTGTCTGCTAATTGCGTGAGATATTGAGGCACCACTGAGCAACTACAACGGATTACATGTACACGTTACTGTTTGCCCTCTTCTTAACGTGTGAAAAGAGATACAAGGCAAAGAAGACAACAGTAATCGGTAGTCGTTACCTGTCAAAAGCTACAAGAACTTTGTATCCTGGATCACTGGACGCGTAGCACATTGATTGTCCCTTCAGTTAGGAACAAATTGATGAAGATTATAAGTTTCAAGTTGATCAATATCTGGTAAGAGATACACGGGCTCGTACGTACCACCAGAGTTCGTCCGTTTCCAAGGATTATGTCGGTCGGAAAAGAGCGATCGATAGTGCTGGCTGCCACCGTGATGACCCATGGCACCGCGTTGTTGATTGTTTGAGGGACGGGGCCATCGTTTCCCCCAGAGAAGACCACCGTTGTCCCCTTCTTTACCGCGCCTAGTGTCGCCGGAAAATAACCGTCCCCACCGATCGACAGTGACAATATGTCCACACCATCACCCACCGCATCATCTATAGCTTGTAGTACGTCGGCTTTCCCGCATCTTCCTGATCCCCAGCACACCTTGTAGATTGCTAGCCGCGCACGAGGAGCGCCTCCTCTTGCTGTACCGCTACCGAGACCGTGGAAGTTTGCATCGCTTACCAGAGAACCTGCTGCGGTGGAAGCGGTGTGTGTTCCATGGCCATTGGCGTCACGGGGGGAGTCGTAGTCTCGCGCGACCTCAGACGGGCGGGCGTCTTTATTGTAGTATCTTGCACCGATGATCTTGCGGTTGCAGTGGTTGACGGTGAAGTTTTGACCTACTTCACACTTTCCTTTCCAACGGGATGGGGCGGGGCCATAACCATCGTCGTTGAAGCTTCTCGATTCCGGCCAGATGCCTATGAAAGAAAAACTCCCATTGACATGCTCAATGATATATAATTAGGCGATCAGTACTGAACAGATGATGCTTAATTGCCTGTGTCGACAACTCCGATGATGATGCCATCGCCTTCCTTGCCTTTCTCAAGTAGTCCTGGCGGTTGGTGATGCTGATAACCTAGACCAAGGTAGTCCCAGCTTCGCGTAGTTTGCAGACGAAATGCGCGGCTTGGCTCGATGCTCAGTACTTCCGGCAAGACTAGTACGAAACGACAATACAACCCTTCATCATCGTGTGCTCAACCAATAACCGAAGTCTTTGGAAGCATTGCTTATAAATTAATTTCTTAGTTTGGTCTCATAAACTTGTGCACCTGAAGCGCACAACATTAGATATATGTGTTAAGGACCTGCAATTTGATCTGCTTGGGATTCCTTAAGCCTGGCTGCAAAGCCCGAGAAGCCGTATCTGTAGCTGTAGACGATTGAATTGAATGCCGCATCCTTGCTGAAACAACACAAGTGCACCAACTAACCCGTAAGCAAGGAAGCATATAGCAGATGAGGACGAAGTTGGATAGAGAACATATACCTCCCCAACACAGAAGACAGCATCTCATGGTGGGACGCGGTCACAAGCTCCGGATCTTCGTGATGCCACTCTTCAAGACACACAATGTACAGCTTCACAGCAGCAAAGCACCGTTTATTGTCATTTAGGAAAGACCATTGATATATTGATGAATACACATCAAATACCGAGATGGTAGAGGTACACTCACCTTGGTTGATGCTTCGTCTCCGAGAGCTTCCATTCGGAAGAAACCCAAAACGAAGAGAAGTAGAAAGGTGGAGGGCGGAGTATAATGGGTACCCATACTTACCTCTCCTCCGTTGCTGTAGTTCCGCTATTTATAAGCCTATTAATTAAGCCACCAGACCGACGATGATGGACTCTCTATGATATCCAACTTTGACATCTCTATTTAGGATTCCATGGTGTCGAACTTTGTTGATAGCATAATGACACGTGAGTGATGCACAATGCAATAATAGACATAGTATTCTTTAAGATACGACCCGTGTAAAGATCTCAGAAATAAAACGGACCGAATTATTTGCCTACAGCGTGTAGTCTCTTGATCAGTGAAGTATGCCCCGAGTCGAATACGAGGCTCCGACAGGAACGAAGCCTGTTTTTTCTTATCGTGTCGTTGTTTCAATCTGATATCCATGTGGATTCACAGCTACTACCATGTGACTTCCATACGAAGCGCAAATATTGACAATTACGATTTTAAGGGGAGTGAGATCGATGAATGTGGTAGAACCACTTACAGATTACATCCGCAAATAATAACAGATAATCTACACAGCATGCAGATTTTAGACGCCTGTCTGTCTAAAATCAGCTACAAGGATATATACAACATAAAAATTAGACGCTGGTCTAACTTTTGCAACACAAATTAATCTGCCATAAATCTTCGAATTATAACTCAAAATGGACGAATTATTATTAGCTGTTCGACCGGTTTCTTGATTCAACAGTAACGTGACCACAGAATAAGAGTCGATTCAACAGTAACATAACAACTGTCGTATGCATCGTATCCAGCAACTCATTAAACAAAGATTTGTGTCGAAAGCACAGAAACTTAAGGACTAAACATATAAATATTGGGTAAAAATTAAGCGATGAGCAATTTGCCTCAGGAGATAAAAGAGGCTCAAAAAAATTTAGTAAACCAAATTGTGACTTAAAAATGGAATAGATCTCAAACAGAAGACAATGGAAGATGGCTCTGGAAAACCCTCCTGAAACCAGAGTTTACTTGCCTGTTAAAAACATTGATAAGCTAAAGGTATAATGTCATAAGATAATTAAATAAACCAATTTATGGCTCTGCGATTGTTACTTCGACCTCCACACCAGGTTCAATGGTGATGGAGGTTATCTGCTTCACAACCTCAGAAGAACTGACAAGATCAATCACCCTCTTGTGCACGCGTAGCTCAAACCGATCCCATGTATTGGTTCCTGCAATAACATCACCATCAAACTCAGCAAATTTACAAAGCAAACACAAAAAGATGATGGGAATCAGATAACATGCCTAAAGCACAGCCATAAACCTTCAGCAGCATAGCCGAACAACAAAACATCACCATGTAAATTAATAAGACCAACATTTTAATGGGTAAGAACAGAACTGCATCCAAATCGTGAGCCATACATACACTCGGAAGTTGCAAAAAAATGAAATTCTGCAGGACAGTCAATTTGTCAATATAGGAAGAGGCTCTCAAAAGTGCACTGAAGTCATCTTTCTAACCAAATCACAAAAAACCTTAAAACCTCCAAAATACTTCATCAGGTACTCCAAGTGTAATATTCCGTAGAAAGCCAAAATAGATAGTTAGACTGAGCATCAGTTTTAAAAAGCTCGATTTGTTGAGACTTCATAAGAGAAAATGCTCAGTAAAAGTGTCTTTTTTTATCATCATCTGCACAGTCAAATCATCTACTGGCAACCACATACAAGAAACCCAACCGTGAAATGAAACTTTGATCTTTTGTTTTTAACTGTAAGGAAGCATCCACGATATTAATGGTTTATATGAAAAATATAAATTGGATACATAAAAGACACTTTCCAGCCTCCAAGTTGCATTTGAACAATCCACTTCATTGAATGACATAAGGCTAACTCAGCATAATGACTGCCTCTTCATGTTTCCTTTAAGCAAATAAAAAATATCAGAAACATAATGTCTGTCTCTTCATGTTTCAATTAAACAAGAAAAAACTGAGAAGCATGACTTCAGCCTCTCGTGTTTCATTTAAACAAGAAGAAACCTTGAAATGCCAACATATATCTCAATGAAGACATAAACAGAAATGAACATCATACTTGAGGCCACCAAGTTACCGACACAATGCCTTGAAGGAAGCAACTGTTTAGGACACGGTCTCATGAACTAAAGGTAAGATCGAAGAAGCTCTGAGAAGGGAAGGGTGCAATACCTTCACCACAGGGAGATTTCCTGGTGGTAATGTGGAGGACCTTGGTGGGCATCCTCACGGGACCCTTGACGGTCAGCCGCTTGTCCTTCGCTCCCCTCACCAGATCCGCACAAACTGAACCACCAAAATCGATCAGGAGGGGCGAAATTAGTCAAAGAAAAGATTAAAGAACCCAACTAAAGGTCATAGGCATGGCGTACCCTTTTCGAGGTTCTTGACGTTCTTGGAGGAGAGGGTGATCCGGATGCGGTGAAGCTGCTCCTGGGGTTCTTCCAGCCCCAGCTTCGTCGGTTTCATCGCTCCGTAAGCCGCCGCCGCCGCCATGGTTTCGATGCTGAACAAACCGAAGCAAAGACCTAACACTAGAAATCGTCAGATCGGAGATGGAGGCCTGACGAATAGATGATACGCGAAGGAAGACCTCAACCGTACCCCTCTCTGCCTTCTCTACGACGCCGCCTTTTTTTCGTCTCACACTCCTTCGCGTTCAAGAAAGAGGCTTAGGGTTTACTTTTATGTGGCGAGAGACCGACGAATTTACAGATGCGCTCTCCTGGTGATCTTAAATTACAAAATGGTCCAACACAAACATAGATAACTTGATTGATTCAGAAACAAAAATCTAAGAAGATATTACTAAAATAATTCGAATACATTGCGATATGTTATATTTTCTAAAATATTCGGATTTTTATTGTTGAATCTCGAATTTTGATGATGATATTAATTGATGAATTAATGATCTAATTCATGTATTGAGATAAGTGATGTAAGACTATCTACGATCGTGAGAAAGGTAAAACGATTAAAAAAGAATCAGAGTTGGGCCACAATTAATGATCAGGCATCGGATCGGATGAATCAGAAAATACACCAAAAGATCAAACGATGTAGTGAAAGCTCGTCGGAGGTTTGCCGAGAGTTCGCCGAAAGCTCGGTCGGAGGTTCATTGAAAGCTTGTCGGAAGTTCACCAAAAGCTCGTCGGAAGATTACTAGGAGTTCGTCGGAAGTTCACTGAGAGTTCGATTGAACCATTGACGTGTAGGACAACTCAGATTGCAAGTAGAATAATTATTTTAGCCATAACTATCCTAATTAGGACTTTGATTTAAGTTAGTTTTGGGAGAAATCCTACTAACTCAATTAGAGGTCAATTGGATCTTTAACTAGGTTGAATTGGGCCGGTCCATTTGGAGTCATGTCAAGTGGTGGCACCGCCCAGACTGGGCGGTGGAACCACTTGGGGCTCAACCTCCTAGGTGGTCTAGGCAGTGGTACCACCCAAATTGGGCGGTTATACCGCCATAGCCCATTCTCTAAGGCTTTATCAGGCGGTAGTACCACTAGACTAGGTAGTGGTACTGCCCAATGTTAGTCTATAGGCGGTGGTACTGTCGAACAATGGCGGTGGTATCATTAGTACCCTGAAAACCAAGGATGAAATATTTTTTGGCTCCATTTTTGAAGCCATTGGGGCGCCTATAAATACCCCACTCTTTCCTGCATGAAAGAGCATATGAACAAAAGTTAAGATTTTGGGGTGTAAAAGTGTTAAAAAAAAATACTGAGAGTCCTCCTCCTCTCTTTCTAGTTTTGTAATCATTCAAGAGAGATACGAGGCTTGCAAGGGTTGTCTCCTAAGCTCGTAAAAATGAGAAAGTGTTGTAAAAGGGTGGTTGATCTTCGCCCATTGAAGGAAGACCGTTAGTGGACGCAAGTAGCCTCAACGAGGAGGAATCGGGAGTTGATGTAGGTCACGATGATCGAATCACTATAAATCTAATGTGATCTCTTCCTTATCATCTCTATTCTGCTTTTTCTTTATATTGTCTATTGACTTGGCTGCTTACTCCACTCCACACCTTCTTTATGTTAAACACATTTCTGATATATTTTTTATCGAAATGAAGTTTTCTGACTAAACATAATTTTTAGAAAAACACTAATTCACCCCCCCTCTTAATGTCATTGGTATCAGCTAGGTTACTCTTTATTTGGTTTAAAACCCGAGAGAGATGGCTTTTGCCGACAATCATGAGGGACTTTCTATCACTCGCCCTCCTATGTTCAATGGGATGAACTATACTTATTGAAAAACTATGATGAGAATTTTCTTGCTTACTATGGATTTTGAAATATAGAATATTATTGAAAGCGATTTTGATAAGTATTCCAAACTAATAAACGAATTGAATGATTTAGAAAAGAAGGCATTCTCCTTGAATGCTAAAGAGATGAATACTTTGTTTTGTACTCTTGATAAAAATAAATTTAATCATGTTTCTTTATGCAAAACTGCACATGAGATTTGACATATACTTGAAGTTATACATGAAGGCAAAAGTAGGGTTAAAGAGTAAAAAATTAATCTTTTGGTGCATAATTTTGAATTATTTCGAATGAAACTAAGCGAAACCATGGGAAAAACGTACACTTGTTTTACGGATATCGTTAATGGTTTGAAAGCACTTGGTAAAGTTTTTTCTAATATTGAACTTGTCAATAAAATACTAAGATCCCTTCCGAAAAATTGGGATCCAAAAGTGATGGCAATAAAAGAAGTAAATGACCTGAACAACTTTACTCTTGAAGAACTTATTGGGTCATTAATGACCTATGAAATGACATGTAAGACACATGATGAATATAAGAACTACATTCCAAAGAACATGAAGAATATGATACTTAAAATTAAAGAAGATCACTCGAGCGAAAGTTCAATTGATGATGAGGACTCGACACTTCTAACAAGAAAATTCAAAAGATTCATAAGAAGAAACAACATAAGTTTTGTAAAACAAGATACTAAGAACAAAAACGAACTAAAAAAGGACACAATCATATGCCATGAATGCAAAAAACCGAGGCACTTCAAAAATGAATGTCCCCCCCCCCCCCAGTGAATAAGAAGCTACCAAAGAAAAAAAAAAACGCTCGAAGACGATGAGCCAACCAACAAAGAAGAAATTACAAACTACGCATTAATGGCATTTGGCGATATGGTAAATGACTCAATCAAATCTTATTTAGCTTATGATGATTTACTTATCTCTTTCAATGATATATATGATGAATGTAAGCTAGTCGGTAAAAAATATAAGTTGTTAAAAAATGAGCATGCTTCTCTTGTTAGTAAATTTGATATATTAAAAAATGAGCATGATGATAATATGTTAGCTCCTTGTACTCAATGTGAAGAGTTGAAATCATTTAAAAAAAACTTGTTGCTAGAAGAAACATTAGAAAATTTTAAAATAGGTAATAAATCTTTAAACATGATCCTTGCTACTAAGGATCATGTTCATAGAAAGGAAGGAATTGGTTTTGTGAGTAATACTCAACAAAAGCTTACTATCTTCATTAAAGGACCTACATTACATGTCTCACCAAAAGAAAAATATAATTTTTGTGAAAGATATAATCATTTTGCTTACAAATGCTCATTTAAATAGTCTAATTCATACAAATTAGTTTGGATCCCTAAAGGAACCATAAATCACTTAATGATAGACAAATCTATTTATGAGGGACCCAAAATTAAATAAGTACCTAAAACAAAACTCTCATTCTTATAGCTATGTTTACAATCATAAGCTAGGAGGAAGATATGGTACCATAATAATGGATGCTTTAGGCACATGATCAGAAATTCAACTTATCTTTTAAGCTCACTAGCTAATATAACAATAAAAAGGAAAGATTATTTGAATCAAAATGTTTTAAACTTGAGGATTTTTTATAAACCTTTGGATGGTTTATGTAGTATCTTTTGGTTTTAAATAATTAAGCATGATTTTTTTTAATAAAGCTAAAGAACCTTAGTTATCTTTAATCTTATAGGAAACTATCTACATTAATTTCATTGGATTTCTTAAAAAAGATGATGATAACTTTAGATTTGTTTTCATATGAGATGATTTGTCGGTGTTTACTACTTTTGATTGTTTTACCTCATTTCTTTTTAAGTTTTTATTTATTATTCTCCTACGATTCTATTGTCTATGACTTGAATTATTTTATAAATTTTCTTATATTTATGATTTGTATGTCTCATAATATGATTGAATCATTAAAGTACATGGATAGAAAATTATTGGCTGCACATCTCAAAAGTGCTACGAAGCTCACACTTTCAATAAGAAAAAAGTGATGACTTGAATGCTAATATAGGATTAATATCATCTGCATAAACGTTAGCTTGAATATTATTGGATATTGACTTGAATGTTATATATGGCTGCTAGGAAGTTAAAGGTCAAATGTTGAAGTTTGAATGGTTGAAAGATAAAATTACAGCTTGAAGATGAGCCAAAGTGCACAAGCAGTAGCACCACTAGAGTACACTACCCATAAGCAGTAGCACTGCCCAACTGGCGGTACCATAGCCCGAAACTGAGCCCTATAAAAGGGCTTTTAGGGTCGATGGTAGAACCGCCCCCAAACCTTCATCCACCTCTCCTCTACATTTCTAAACCCTTCTACACTTCTCATTCTCTTTGCTCTTCCTCTACAAAACCTTTCTCTTCTACAAATCTAAGGATCAATCTCAACTCTCTAAGAGATCACTATAAGGGTAATCTTTAAAACTTTTTTCTAAATTCATTGATTGATCTTGCTTCTTATATATAGTTCTCTCATTGATAATATATGTAGTTCTCATGACATCTAGAAGATCCTCAAGAGGTAAAGAAAAGAGAAGATTATATGAAACCTATGATTTCATACTCTTTGATTCTCCTCAACATGCCCTTAAATTCCTAAACTTTGAGTCTAGAAGTATACATAAAGGAAAATATATAGATCTAAAAGAATTAAGTAATTTGGAACTAATTCAATGGTTTGCTAACTTGGATGTCCTTCCAATCCTTCAAATAAGTGAGCACATTTATTCTAAACTTGTTCGGTTATTTTACAACAACTCGTACGTGGATGAACATAATAGGATATCCACTTATCTCTTAGGGCATCACATACCCATTACGAATAGTATAATCTGCAACCTTATAGGAGTTCTTGTGAAAATGAGATGTTACTATTTTAGAGGACAATGAGATGAAGAATCAATTAGGATTAAGGCTTTATGTACCTTTTTTTAATCCAAATTTGTTTATCGTTCTAGAAAGTTATGAACACTTGTTATCCTTCAGCACAAAATTATTTCATCACATCATGATAAATATTCTACTTCTAAAATAATACCATCACGATGAAGTTAGTCAAATATAATTATGAACAATATATTGGATTATAGTATGATATAACAATTATTTTAGATATCTGATACAACAAAACATGATTGAACTATAAATAAAAGATATGATGCTTCCATATGATGGCTTGATTATTAGACTAATGTATGCACATGACATAGTCATCCACCAGACAAAGAAACCTTGAAACTAGATAGATTTAATGTCATCAATAGAAACATATTAAGAAGATTAAGATTTATAATAAGAAATTATGTTTGAACTAGATTACTAAGGAGGACTAATCCTCCCCCATCTGAACCAAAATCAGAAACACCTGTATATAGGGAAAGTCAATCTCCTCATATTAGTCCCTTTGAGGCAGCACCTCCAACAAAGCCAACACCCTCCTCATCTGTCGATTCCATAGTGACTCGATCGGATCGAATTGAACTATATCAAGATCAAATCTTAACCGAGATGCAGTAAATTTATCGATAACTTGACACTCTGTTTAGGCATTTTAATTTATCACCACCTGAATATCTTGTATATTTCTCATTTCTTTTTGTTAATGAATGAGAAAGCTCATTAGTATTCTGATATGCTGTACTCTTACACTCTATGATGTACTTACTAATATTATGTGCTTTTCAATATGCATTTCTTGATGGTATTATGCAACACTCTAAGAATTAGGCATGTTAAATCTTTTTAATGCATGAATTCCTATATACATTTTTCAGATTTTTTATTTTTTGTAACTTGAGTTTTTCTTTTTAAATTGAGATCGTTTCATTCATTCCTTTTTCATATAATTCACCAAAGAGAATTTATTCATGGATTTTTTATCCTTTTTGAAAGAAGAGTTTTTATTCATAGACTTTTGGGATTTTTTTTATCTTTTATGTGATAATCAATTCCTATAAATCCTTCTTCCTTCTATTTGTAATAAAAGGGATTTGATTCATGAATTTTTAGTATGTATATTTTAATATTTTTTATGAATTATTTTTCTTTGTGATAATAGAAGCTTGATTCAATGAAACTTATTTATTATGGATTTGATTTGGTTTAAATCCTTTCATGGATTTGGTTCTTGACAAAAGGAGAACCTTTTGAAGTAATAATGCTAGCTTGCCTATTTCAAAAAGCAAAAGGCGTTATCTTGCAAAGTTTTTACTTTAACTTCTCATTTTATAAATTTGCTAGCTTGCATAAATTAGTGTAAAACTTACTCAAATAGTTTAAAATACTTACATAAATTATTGAATGATTTTCTTTTTGTTGATGACAAAAGGGGAGAAATGATTAATATTATTGAATATGATATCATGCATGAAGTGATAAATGGTTAAAATATGAATGCTTTAGTATCATGAATGTTATGCTCTAGATGATGTTAATTTTGATATCATATAGATTATACTCAAAGTGATTTATTATCATGCATGAAGTGATGAAATTGTGCATGTTATACTTGGATGGCTTTAATCTATGATGATGTATGAAATATTGATATATTGCATTTTATCATAGTAATCAAAATTATTTCACTTAGAATTCAAATGCCATGATTCCTTTTGAATTTAAGTTTACTTTATCGGACATATAGATAGGGGGAGTTAGGGTTAACTCCGTCATCAATTGATTGTCATCATCAAAAAAAGGAGATTGTTGAATCTCGAATTTTGATGATGATATCAATTAGTGAATTAATGATATAATCTATATATTGAGATAAGTGATGTAGGACTAACTACGATCGTGAGAAAGGCAAAACGATTAAAAAATAATCGGAGTTGGGCCAGAGTCAATGATCGGGTATCAGATCGGATGAATCGGGGGATACATTGAAGGATCAGATGATGCAGTGAAAGCTCGCTAGAGGTTCATCGAGAGTTCGTTGGAGGTTTGCTAGGAGTTCACCGAAAAATTGCCAGAAGTTCACCGAGAGTTTGGTTGAACCATTGACGTGCAGGACAACTTAGATTGTAAGTAGAATAATTGTTTTAGCCTTAACTATCATAGTTAAGACTTTAATTTGTGTTAGTTTTGGGAGAAATCCTAACAACTCAATTAAAGGCCAACTGGGCCTTTAACTAGGCTGAATTGGGCTAATTGGATGGTTCATTCAGCCACTTGGAGCCACATCAGGCGGTGGCACCGTCCAGACTACGCGATGGAACCGCTTGGGGCTCAACCTCCTAAGTAGTTTGGGCAGTGGTACCGCTGGCAGTTAATGTTACCAAGTGATAGTATCGCCCTATTAGCGATGGTACCACCAGAGCCCAGTCTCCGAGGCTCTTTCAGGCAATAGTATCATTAGACTAGGTGATGGTACCGCTAGTACCCCAGAAATCGAGGTTTAGACACTCTTTGGCTCTATTTTTGAAGTCATTGAGGTTTATAAATATCTAACTCTTTTCTACATGAAATAGCATAAAAGTGTGAACAAAAGCCTTGAGATTTTGGAGTGTGAAAGTATTGAAAAAGTGCTAAGAGTCCTCCTGTTGTCTCCTAAGTTCATAAAAAGGAGAAAGTATTGTAAAAGGGTGATTGGTCTTTGCCCATTGAAGAAAGACCATTAGTGGACGTCGATGGCCTCAACAAAGAGGAATTGAGAGTGGACGTAGGTCACGACGACCGAACCACTATAAATCCGATGTGATATCTTCCTTATCATCTTTATTCTATTTTTTTTTTATATTATCTATTGACTTGGCTGCTTAGTCCACTTCACATCTTCTTTATTTAAACATATTTTCGATACATTTTTAATTGAAACGAAAATTTTCAACTGAATGTAATTTTTAGAAAAACACTAATCCTTCCCGCTGTTTGTGCTGAGTTGATCCTAACACTTATATTTCTAATAATTTATCATTTCACGATAAATTAGGCATTCAAGAGTCAATAATATATTAACAGTCTAATTAGCAATGGAGGAGCAGATGCGGCATCAGCTGCACGTTAATCTAACTAGTTTAGCATCACATGAAGGTAATTAGCGGCCGCCGTCGACGTCGTGTCGGGGCACCACCCGTTTCTTCTTCGGGGTGCTCACGGGGCTATGCGCTGATCGCGCCATCGGTCCCATCACTCTCGCCTGTTGCTGCACCACCAGCGTGGACGCTCGGCTGCCCAAGTCTGTCGACGCCAGCAGGTCGCCGATGACCCCCAGCTCCGGGTATTCGCTCCACATCGACATTGCCGCCGTCAATGGCGACTCCTTCTCCGCCCTCCGCCCCACGATTAGCAGGCTGAAATGGGGACTCGTCTCGCGGATCACCTCCATCGTCTTCTCCCCGTCCTTCACCACCTCCTCCCTGTACACCACCCGGTGGCCGTCCACGCTGTCGCGCAGGAACTGCATCAGCATCCGGTCGTCGATTATCTCATCCCGCCCTTGCTCCCGCCACTCCTTGGGCGGGAGGAACCGCACCACCATCAGTTCGACGTTTGCGTGCTCCGCCATGCGCGCGCCGTAGGCCAGCGCCTCCCGGTCGTCGGGGCCGCCCAGGAAGTAGACCGCCACGCGGTGCACCAGGGACCCGGCGTCGGAGAGACCGTTGTCGACGAGGATGCCAACGGAGCAGGGCGCGTAACGGAGGACGTTCAGGTTGACGGCCTGGACAGCGGAGCTGGCGGAGCTGGTGCTGCCGTCAACACCAAAGTGCTTGTGGAAGGGGACGATGACGAGGGTGACCTTCTTGTCGTGGGCGAGGGAGCAGACGTCGTCGTGCATGGTGCTGTAAGGCGAGATGCAGATGTAAGGGATGATCGAGATGCCATCCCGGTGTTGCTTCTCAAACGACTGGAAGGCGTTGACAATGTGGTCCGACTCCGTAAAGACGACGGGCACGGAGGAGGACTTCTTGTGGCGCCGGTGGGGGTGGAGGACGGCATCAGCACGGCCGACGAGCTGGATGAGGTGGAGGAGGTAGACGCAGATGGGCGCGTTAGGGGAGGGGCCGGAGGCATCGAGAAGGGCGAGGACGGGGACGACGTTGTCCTGCTCGTGGACGCATGCAAGGATGCGGAGCTCGTCGTCGGGGATGGCGTGCTGGAGAGTGCGGCGCTTGTAGGCCACGTAGCGATCCTCGGGGCGGTACAAGTACTTGACCAAGGGAGCGGTGCCGCCGCCGAAGATGACGATGGAGAGGATGAGCGTGGTGTAGAGCTGATCATCCACCATCTGCAGCCCATGTGCGTTAACAGGACTTGTCCCAGTTAGAATCTTTTGCAATTACAAACAAAACGAGGACCTGAATGTAAATATAAAAATTATTAACGATCAAATTACAAAATATCAAAAAGAAATTTGCAGTTGACACTCCACCACCGTCTCTTTCACGGCGGCTCCAAGAGACGGTGGAGGAGAAAAGGGAGAGAAAGGAGAAGGAAGAACCAGAGAGAGAGGAGAGGAAGGAAAGAGGGGATAAAATAAAAGAAAAAAATAAGTTGCTTTTGGAAATAAAAAATATATATATGACACGTGGATACAATTATGAATTTGTATTATTTGAATAATCCAAAACAAAAAAGAAATGTTAGAACTATATGATTATGAATTTATATTATTTGAATGGTCTTGGAAAAAGAAAATGTTAGAATTATATGATGATGCTGATGATATATATTATTGTGACCTCTAATTGCTAAAGTTTGATGAGGTCTAGAGATCGTGGGCTGCTACTTAATAAGGGTCGGTTTGATTGCAAGAATAGATTTCTTTTCTAATAAAAAAATATATAAATATATAAATATATAAATTATTCGGAATTGGGACGGATTGTACAGAAACAGAATGAACAATCTATTCCGTAGAAATAAAAAGTATTCCATTGAAAAGGAACGCATACCTCGGTTTCTTTCCACCTGACGGCAGTTTCTACTTCGTAGATGCCTTTGCTAGTCATCATGAGGCCCAGTGAGAGGGCGTCCCGGTGCGGCATATTGCTGCAGATGCATGGCAGCACCACCCCCACGAACTTGGACACAACGCACAGCACCACGAACATCTCAAACCACGCCCACTGCGTCGCATCCGCCAGCGACGCCAGGTTCATCCTCATCCCCCCCACCGCCAGGCACACCGGCAACAGCACCCCCTTCACGAACCGGTCCACCCGCTCCACCAGCGTCGTCCCCAGCGGCGCTCCCCCCGGCAGCACCAGTCCGAAGAAGAAGGGCCCCGCCAAGAAGTCGAAGCCGATGATCTCGCTCATCAGCCCGCAGGCCAGCGCCATCAGCAACACCGACACGAAGCTGGCCTCGCTGAGGAGTGCGCCATCCGGCGTCCGCCGTATGATCCAGAGCACGAGCGGCCTCATGACGTACATGATGATCCCCACCAAGCCCAAGAAGGATAATAGCCCCGATAACCCCTTCATGGCATTTCCCTCCTTACCGCTCAGCAGGAAGGTGCCGAAACAGGCCTCCGCAAACAGATGGATGATGTCAGCGATGAGGGCTGCCGACAAGGCCAGGCGACCGAGCTTGGAGGTGAGGAGGTTGAGCTCGCTGAGGACGGCCGAGACGACGGGGTAGGACGTCAGGCACCATCCGTCGGACAGGATGAGGAGCACGGGTGTCTCCGTCAATCGAGGAGGCATCTTGTGCTTCAACGCAGTGGCCATGAGGAAGACGGAAACGTAGGGTAGCAGGGTGCCGAGCACCGCGATTACGACCGCCTTCTTCCCGGCCTTGTGGATCATACTCAGGTCCGCCTTCACGCCGACCACGAAGTAGAAGATCACCAAGGATAAGATGTAGATGGTGTTGAGCTGCTCGAAGCTCTGGCGGGTGAAGAATCGCCCCGCGAACCACAGATTTCGGCCAAGGAAGCTCGGGCCTAGCAGCACGCCCGCCTGCGTCTCGCCAAGCTCGAAAGCTTAAGATGGAGATCATATTTGGTGGAAATCGAGTGCTCGAGTTAAGCATGAATACCAGGATCTGAGAGATGGCGAGGGGTTGGCCGAGGCGGCTGAGGACGACGTGGGTCAGGCTGCACGCGCCGAAGATGGTGATGAGCTGGTAGAGGAGAAGGGTCAAGGAGAAGCGGAAGGGGTTGTCGCCGAGCCATACTCCGGCGGAGGTGGTCAACATGGCACGGCAGCAGTAGATGGACTTTGCTCCCGAGTACGAGGCACTGAGGAGGTTGTCGTCGGTGGATCTCCCGGCGCCGGCAGTGGTTGCCATCTTGGTACCAGAGAAGCGAACAGAGATGGGAGCAGGAGAGATGTGCGGAGAGGGAATAGGGACGGGAGGAGGTTGAAAAGGATGGGGAAGAGAGAGAAAGAGAGAGAGAGAAGAAATGGTCAACTCAATCCAATTGTCACGTTCCTCGATCCACGAAGATGCTACGGTTGACGGGTTGACCAACAAACCCCGCGCGTCTTCACGCCATGTCTCGACACCCTCCGCCCACGGAGGAGGAGGAGGAGGAGGAGGAGGAGGAGGAGGCTTATCACTTTGACGTGCCACCGACGGGGACGTCAAAATCCATTCTTTTGCTTTGCATCAAAAGAATCCGATTCCCGATTCCATCAAACTGGAGTTAGTCCTCATTGACGATGTCATACCCACTTGCAATTTTGCCTATCGACACGGCACAGTGTGCACTAGGTTTGATTACAACTTACAGTTCATCCTTGGATTAATGGAATTGCGATAAACGTTGATGGGGTTCCTTACGATATTAGATCATACGTTTAAATGTCCATAGATGACACGCGTGACAGCGTTAGATGAGTTTTGTCATGATCAAGAGCTTGGTGGGGGATGAGTGTAACATCTTTGATTGTGTATCTGAGAATCTGATTGCAAATATAGAAATTATAAGAAACTAAAATTCAATAAAAGTCAAAAATAAAAACTTTCACACCACTCAATCACTTCGGCAGTTTTAGAAAGAAAGAAGAACAAAAACGAAAACGAATTGAAGAGAGAAGAGGAAGGGACAGCAAAAGAAGAAGAGAGAGGAAATGAAGACCAAAAAAATTTTCATGCAAAGACACAGAGTGGAAACATAAGAGAAAGAAGAAAGAAAAATAGGGAAGGAAGAAGAAGAAAATTTGGAAAGAGGAGAGAGGAAGCGATCTGCTGTGACCAGAAAAAATATAAAAAATTAATTTGATTAGTTCTATTATATTTCTTTTAATTAGATTAGCGTATAGGATTATAAATCAATTAATTTGATATTTATATTATGAAGGAAAAAATGAAAAATAAATCATATGATTTGAATAATTATTATTTTATGTTATTTGAACTTATATGAAATTATCTATTCAACATTATAATTATTATTTTTAAAAAATTAATATGATTTCATTACTTTTTAAAATATGCAGAAAAAAGGATTTGTTCGAACTGTTAACTTAGTAAAAATTAATTGATATATTATTTTGATCGTGACCCTAACAATAAAGATAATACATTCCCAACATATTTCTGAAATTGATTTTTTTTATCCAATTTGTTTTTTATCTATTCCATGTCGATTAAATATAGTTCTGAATTTTATCATGGAGATATAATGTTATTCAAGTCATCGATACTATTATGACTTATATTTTGACCTGTAC